ACACACACACACACACACACACACACACACACACACACACAGGTCGCACCAAACTCCTTGTTTATAACATCTAGAAATACAGGCCGGTCTGCACACTCCACTTCTATTAGCATCAAATATTTACATGTCTCCTCCGAATGGAAATTACTCTAATCCTGACTTCAGGCTGCTGTCAATCAATCCCCCTCTCTTCTCTTCTCCTCTCCTCTGCTCTATGAACGCGCGTTCACGTGGTGTGAAGGACAGCGACTGTGGCTTTGTCGGGAGCGCGCGTACAGCAGGCGAGAACTGATGCTTGCCGGTCACGCGGATGAAAAAAAGCTGATTCTCCGTGTATAAAAAAATAAAACATTGTCATCGACACAGAGCTGAATTTTAAACGTAAATTAATCAATAATGTGGTAAAAAAAACAATGCGTAGTCTGTTTTGGAAAATGTTTTCTTTAATATATCTGTATTTTACACAACAACAACCTCGGCACGCGATGAGAAAGAGGAGAAAATGAATACCAAAGGCGTCCTGCTGCCGGATGGGTGTTTCTTATCTGCGCTAAAAGGTGCCCGTCTTTGCACGGACGACGGCAGAAAACACAGAAAAGGCGACCAATGGCGTTCAGTGGCTGCATGTTCACGGCTTAGTGATGAATGTAAGGTTTAAAAAAAAAACGACTCGGTATCTCCTCTTAACGTGATACAAATGAGATGAAAACGCAGAGAAAAACAGGAATATTTGATGTGCGTTGGGCGTTATGTAACGCTCACCCCATATCAGTGCTGTCTCCTCGCGCGCCTCAAAAAATATTAAAAAAACAAAACAAAAAAACAACCTCCTCACATCTGCTAAAGTCAAATGAGTGACACAGCCGTGTGACTACATTAGCACCGCGTTCTGCTTTATTCTTACCTTTTCTCTGCCGGTTTGCTTTTCGGTGGAGAAGCTGGACACTGCCCCTCCTCCTCCGACCCTCCTATGTGATGTTTATTTTCCTCCTCCTCCTCCTCCTCCTCCTCCTCCCATCCTCTCACTGCCTATGTGATTCTGGGGAGAAAAAAAAAGAAAAACACAGGAGTGGCTGGTTAATGGCACTTCCTCCACTGGGCTGGGACTGCAGGAAAGAGGAAGCCGTGGAGAATAGAAACAATGTGAGGGGTTTTCTTGTTTCACATCTAGGTTTGACTATATATATATATATATATATCTCTCTGTCACAACCCTAACAGCCACATGATATCATGGTGATGACCTGATTGAAAAGTTACAGTGAGGTCTTGTTCTATACTTCAGCCCTGTGGCAAAAACCCCACAGGCAGTTGTATAATACTTCTAAATTGAGCTTTTTAGTGTTTAGCCTGTGTTATGACAACGAACACCAAAAGAAAAATGGTTGAAAAGTTGTTTTGGGGGGTGGTAACTCCTTCCCTTTTAGCATTTATTAACAGTATGGGGGTTATAGTTAAAAACACTTGTGTTTAATGCTACATAGCAGGGTGTTTATAGGCTATAGCCTTTGTTTTAATGGTATTTTAAGTAACTATGTGAATGTGAAGTATAGCCCAAGCTACATGTTAAAATATTGGTTGAAATGCTGTTAAAACAATACTTATGCCTTATATAACCAACTCATTTTCAACCTTAATCCAAACTTTATCCAGTTTTTTTATCCAGCTTGGTTTTGTGGTATGATGTCACTTGTATTTTATGTGAGCATGCGTGGTGGGTTTTAGCACATGTTCAGCATGTTCTGTTCTATGATTTCTGTATTTTATTTTGTTTTATTTATTGTATGTTCGAGTCTGCATGAATTGTGTGTTTCACATTACAAGTCAAGTATCCCCAAAGGGGCTGAAAGGGTAACGATCCCTTCCAGACACATACAAACAAATATGTGCTTCAAATAGAAATGTGTGGCTGATAAAGTTTTTCCTACATTATAGTTCAATTAACAAATTAGAAATTATTCTCCCTCAGTGAGACCAAACAGAATATATTAATAAATTCATGTTGTTCAGATACATATTGGACCGTGATTGGCTTCCAAACTATAGTTACGTTGTCATAAATATATACTCATACGTACTGGCGGTGGAGAAAAAGCCTTCTAGTGTCAAACTCTGCACATTCATCATTCAAGAGGAGTAACAAGAAGTAAAACACATCCTGCTGCATTTTCACATGCACAGAGGATTGCAGTTATTTGGAGAAAAAAACAACTTTCAACTAGATCTATGGTTAGCGATTGCAGCTTCTTTTTGTTGTTTGATCATTCTTTTTGCATGAAGTAATATATTCAGATGCTTCCAGCTCAGTTAAAGACGTTGGAGTCTGACGAGGATCAGAACCAGGTTAACTGCCCAGTAGGTTTGAACACACAGTGCAAAAGTCAGGACACATAATATGAAATGGAAACATTTACAATAGTAACATTATTAAAAGTGGGGGGTTTTGTGCCGGAATGAGCGAAAAATACTGATCCGGGCATGCGCAAAACATTCACAGCATGAATGAAATATTATGTACAATACTATGTGCATGTGGGGAGATAGTAGAGATGTGCATTATGTAACGCAGTCAGTCTGCAATGGGAGCTTCCAACAATCATACGAGAGGAAACAGTGAAAGGCTTTCAAGCTTCAGTTGACTTGTAGGGATGAAACTCACTCTCCCCATCTGTTGTTTTTTACTGGGCTAATACCATTAATGTTTCTCTCTCCACCATCTTCTTATTATTGATCTCAACAAGGCGAGCGAGGCCATGCCAGTCCTCTGGTGGTCGTCGAACAGCATTCTGGGAAATTGAGGAGACTTCGAGGTTAACAAATCACAGTAAATGTCAACACTTTCTGGTAGGCGTTGAGTATATCGACATCAAGCTCAGTGTCGGTCGGGGGATGTTTTTTTTTCTTTTATAAACCTTATCGCAACATATCTACAAGCACAGGTGTGTATGAGGCTACCCACAATGCAACACTGACGGGGCAACGTCACATCTGCGAGGGCTGTTGCAGTGTTTCTCCGAACTGGCGGTGCCTGATTGCTTTTGTGGTTGTCAATCTCAGATGTAAGGGCACGGTAGGCGAGTGTGTTTTCTAGAGGTGTGTGTGTATGTGTGGTATAGAGGGGGCTACATCAGACAGACTTAACAAGTGTTCACTGTCTCCCTCCACCCTGCTCTCATCCCCCTGACATGTCGTCGCTGGCGGCAGAGAAAAAAAAAACTTGCGTCCTCCTTCTTTTCCGCGCACACACACACACACACACACACACACACACACACACACACAGAGTTCTATCCCTATCTACCCCCCCCTTCAACAACATCCCCATTCAAGTGCATCAGCTCCAGGCATCCTTCCTCCCTCCCTATCCCCCTCTCCCCCCCATCATTCACCAGTAGCCTAAGCACATAAAAAATACATCAAACACAGCTGTCCGCCCAAGGCCCCGTCACACGCAAAATCATCTCTCCCTCCATCTCTCTCTTAAAAAGAAAAACCCAAGTTACAAAAGACAACTACAGAGGACACTGATAGGAGGAGAGATAGACTGAACTCGGAGGACTGAGGGTCGCCTGTGAGGCCTCCTGGGGGGGGGGGGGGGGAAGACAGATTATTGTAATGTTAACACTAACCACATCTTCCCCCCCTTCACTCTCTCTCTCTCTCTCACACACACACACACGAAAGAGTCAAAAAAAAAACAAAAAAAAAACAGGGAGCATGACTTACCTTGTGCATAATAAGACCTTGTTTGGATTGCACACAGCCTGCAGCACCCTGACCCACTTCCCTCAGTTCAGCTCCACATCTGCTCCGGCACCAGACCCGGCTGTGACAGCGGCCGAGGGCGGCCGGCAGCACCCACGGGCCACGCTGTCAGATCCCCGGTACTGAGATGCACAGAGACTGTAAAGAGAAAAGGCCTGCCGGACCTCCAGCTCACAAGCCAACGCTCACAACAACAACAGCGACCAAAATAAATAAAACAATCACCCAAATCAGCCGAGACGTGCTAAATTGAACCGCCAGTCCAACACACGGTTGGCTTTGCGGACTAATTATACACTTTTATTTGAGGCATAGATGTGAGCAGACACACGTACAGTGCATACGTCACGACACAAAGCTGCACACACACACACACACACACACACACACACACACACACACACACAC